CCTCAGGTAGTCGTCATAAGCCATTCATACAATTCTTTCAGCTTGTGAAGACCACGTTCACCATTAGCGAGCATTTTCATGTTCACTTGTGACCTGTGAATTTTCGTCGCCCTAAATGCAAACATCTTGCATTCGCACTTTACCCTTTGCATGGAATGCAGTCTCATCGCAGGGAACACGACGGCTTTCTAATTCACTATACTCAAGTTTCCTTTGCATTCCTTCACAGAACAGCAGGAGCTTTTTCTTGTCGCTCTGCTTCAACGCCTGCCCAAGCTAAGGCTTCCTAGGTTAGTCGAAAGTGTTTTCTAATGCCACGCTAAACAGCTGATTGGGGGACACGAGTTTCCAGGCTTGTCTTCCCACAGATTTCCGTGGCCTAAGAGCTGGTGGCTTTCCTCATCCTCTTTTAAGACACAGCCATCCTCTTGAAGCGTTATGTACTGCATTCAAATAGGCTTTCTGTTGGTGCCTTTTTTATGAAATCTTGAAACAATGGCAAGTTGTGCCTTTTTACTTTACCGTGTTTGGGCGTAGTTCAACACACAAAACGCCTTTTCTGCTACACTAAACGGCATATCTTACCCTGAATGGGAAACATGAAAAGGTAGATTTTTTTAGGGATGACGTGAAATCTAGTCCTGCTGTCAAAATGTGGGAAAATATGAGTGAAATTTATTTACATCACAAAGCTGTGAAATAATGCCAAATTCTCTGAAATCCTTTGTGTGTGTGTGTAGATCACGCTTTACGTGTTCTGTTTAACCTATTTATTTGTCTAAATTTGGCCTTGCTTGAAGTCTTAAACAGTAATTATCGAATGCTTACACAATATATGCACTACGGACAAAGACCTTGGAATTCATTTGCCCCAAGTGTTAACTGCGCATGTTTCAGGTTTAATTCTACTCAGTTGATTGACAATTATACGTCTTATATTCATTCATTTCACGGCGGCTAAAATAATCCCCAACAGGTCTTGTCACGATCAATTTATGCAATATACCAGCAAGGTAGGTTGGTTATCTTTCACAAATGGGGATTTTCCAAATCTAAGAATAAAACCAAAATGGAATAACGTGCATCTTGATTTATATATACTCCAAATTTGAGATAAAGAAAACAGGCATTAGTCTAACTTGGAACGAAGTGGGACGTCAAAGCTTGTATGCTTTTGCTAATTTCGCGTTGCTCTGGGGCACAAGGGAAGTGTAACAAACCTAACTTAAAATTTACTTCTAAAATTTTTGTTTTAGATATTTTATTACAGTAGACTAGATGAAGGTTTTGAGAGAACAGAGGTTATAACGCATCCAATCACCTCTTTCACGATTCAAAACCTTCGACCGGAGACCACTTACTTTGTATGCCTTCGTGTCCATCATCGACTTCAATCGACTCAAAATGCCCCTATCACTTCAACGACGGCTACACTCACAACAGCGACTAGTCAATCTCCTGTAACGTGGCACGTCCGCCAACCCTCAAATCCGGTCTTTTCCGACAATTATGCGTATGAAGTTCGGTGTTCCAAAGCGACTACCCAGAATTGGCACCTTTCTGCCCTAATTGGGGGCGTTTTGGGTGTTGTATTTGCCCTAATGCTAGGATTCCTACTTCTATTGGTGTTAAAGCGTAGCCACTGTTTGCCCAGTAATTCCGGCACCTTCAGAAAGGAAACAACACAAGGATCATTCCATGGAGACTACAAGAGTGGAGGAAGTGTCAGGCGTGGTGGCAGAAGATCGGGTTCGAAGAGGGGCAGCCTCCACAGCATGTTATGGTCAAATCGGTCATCAAACCGCAGAAGCGAATTCATCGGGCATTTACGTGAGGAGGATGAGGATGAGGAAGACGATGATGAAGAAGCAATTGGAGAAGATGATGAAGATGATACGGAAATTGATATGGGCTGTAAATCTTCAGTGCGTTCCCAGGTTGGTATCTACGGGGGGTCAGGTGGAACCACTGCGAGCAGTAACAGACATAGCTCGGTTAGTAGTTCTATCGATGCTCGAGAGGATTCCTCTTCGGTGGCAATGCCGCACCTTCCAACAAATGGGGGACAGACCCGACGTACCAGCAGGCAATCACGAGACATGAGCCGGTCATCAGTTGGTTATGAAAGCATGAAGAACGTTTTGGGAGTGAATGTTAATATTATAGCATCCACGTCCGATGTAGAGAAAGTGAGAAATGACATGCAGACGACATCGCTTTCTATCACTACCAACAGAACCGCAAATAAAGAACGGAGACTGGAGAACAGTGTTCTTACTTCCCCCATATCACAGCACCTTCCAGATCCTCTTAAAGGGTCAATAATAGTTTCTCTCCAGTCACCACTTGTTCGTTCTCCTTCGCCTCCAATGAAGCTTTCACAAGTAAATGTTGTTGAAATCGATGGTGGGGGTGAATGTCAAAGCCCAATGCCCCTAGCTGAACCACAACCTGTTGAGTTGCAGACTCCAATCTTAATAAGTGCAGACTACAATGATAGCTGCGGCTGGATTGAATCTCCCAAGGTCGAGGCGTCTTTAAACTATTGTGCATTTATCCCGCGCATGCTGGTTGATGACGATGATAATGCTGCCTTCGAAGATCCCGAATACGAGTCGTCATTGAGTCCCACAAATGCCACCTCAGGTAGCTCGAGAAGCAGTAACCCTACTACCAACTACAGCTATGAAGAGTGTCGAGTCTTCTTACCATCCGACGGATTTGCTGATCATCGACACCAAAAGGTTCCATCGATTTACACTGAGTTCATTGAAACAATTTAGGTATTATGTAACTAACATTCCAATAGTTTTTGTCTCTGTTTCTCCCATACAACCCCCGAGCTTATTGTCTTTTATACTAGTTCATCCCAAAATATCCGTAGTTTTTAACGAGGATGACTCAAGAATATAATAATCAAACACCACAAGACCTTTTAAAACAAAATTATTCCCATTTTGATACATTTTGAGGTGGTTTTGAATGACTAGAAAATTCGTTTTTCTCGGGAACTAATTCGCTTTTTTACAAAAAGCGTTTCCAAAAGACCCTTTACAGAACTTTCGACGCATAGAATCCAAAAAAATTAACATCAATTTGCCAAAAGCAGTAAAAATATGAATTAAGAGTTACTAGCTAAGAAAAAATAATAAGTTCGCTAAGAAGGAACGGAAATAAGAAACATAAAATCATTGGCTGTGGATCCAATCTAAAATCAGTGCAAATTCTTTGAAATTGACAATCCCAAGTATCCGTAAAAGGTCAGTAAATTATAATATATTCTGCAATGTTTATGAATTTATCGTAGCTTCCGAGATCAAAAAAGGAAAGTGTATAAAGGCCGCATTAAAATTCATGTTCATGCAATGTATGTCATGTTTTCTCAAATAATCGATTGGTGCTTACTAAAATCTGATTTTTTGTATTTACGCGGTTCAGTGACAGTACTTATCGGGCATCTGCATAACATTCATAATAATTTCAAAACATTTGGTTAATGTTAAGTTTGTTAAAATGCGGAGTAAATGCAAAGACAATTGGGTAATTTTGATGAAAACTAAATTAGTTTGTCTGATATGACAATGCTTTAAGTTAACTGTCGATCGATACGGAATAAGAAGTGAATTTAAGCTTCATGATGCATCTAAATAAGATGATTTGAGCATTACGGTGTGTTAATTATGATCAGGTGAGCAGATGCGGATACACACCAAACAGAACTGCACAAAGAGACGAATTTACGTTTATCAAACAGCAAGTAATTGAAACTTTTCCAAAAGTTTTACCGTTAGCGCACACTCTTTCAGCACATCTAGAAAATTTTGACCGAATGGAAGTGTTATTACTTTAGTATTTTCATAGTCTGAACTTATCACCTGCACAAATGAATAACATTCTTTACACAAATTTTATGACGTTTCAACAAATCGGTCTTAATTTTATTACAGGAATTAGAGTCATTCGTTAAAAAGTGCACTTTTAGGAAGGAGAGAGAAACAGCCAATTGATGTGTAACGAAGACCAACTCTCATATTTGTGTAAATTTATAAAATACTTCTAGGTTTTCATTTTCAAGGTTTTAAAAATGGGCTTAAGTTCCAAAACTAGATGTATCTCTTTTTAACTTTGCTGTAATATGTCATGAAATATTTCTGATTCTGTACGCAAGCGTCGTCGAATAAAATACTGAAGCCTAGAGGAACTGTGAAAATCTCGCGACGTGCAAAAAAGAAACTGTAGAAATCTTCCATTTCTCAGAAAAGCAACACAAAATCCTTATATGCTTTAATAAAATATTGTTAAAAGCTGCATTAATTAGAAATCGTTAATCATATAAATTTTTATAAAAAGGTATTACTATTCGCTGGCTTTAAAAAGGAATGCTCTATGGTCACACATTTTAAAGAAACAATTTGAGAAATAGTTGCACTTCATGAAGATCAAATAAAGCAAGGTAAGTTAAATGCATTTTGAGTGTCTTTACAATTTCAATGCTTTTAGAAGTTGTAATGGAAATAAAAAATAATATTTAGGCTGTAAGAAAGTAGTTAAAAGATTTACAGGAATTCAATTTTTATGTCTGATTAAAGACACCCCGCACCTTTAAAATATAGCCTTATCCAATCAGAAATAACAATCGGACTTCGTGGGCATGTCATACGGGTGTGGTAACATTTTGTACTCTGGTTTTTTTTAAAAAATGACCACTGTTACGTTAACTTGTAGCGACGCCTATGGTGTTATTATTTATAAAGTTAGGAATAACAAATCCCGCTGTATTGCAACTAGTAAAGTGGCACTGGAATTTTCCTAGAATTCATTTAAGGACAAAAAGACCAAGACTTGTTAGATATTTGACCTTTAAAATGATATTCATTAATTTTTTTGTTTTTTTTCGAATCCATCTCCACTAATCGGATTGGTTTTTTCTTTGTGCTCATCGATTTGCTCCGCTTTTATATGCTAATACTAAATTGCTGATAAGGACCCAGCGAAGCTAGATGCTCTCGTGGTGCGTCACACGTGTCACTTATTTTTGATCAGCCTATACCAATACTACGTAGTGGGAAGCGGAATTTGACGGATTTTTATACATTGTACAAACGTGACTCAAAAAATCCGAGTGTGCTGGGATCAATTGCACACAAACTTCCAAATAGAAACTTACTGTCTTGTTTCCTGGTTCCATCAGTGCTTCTAAATGGCGACTACTTCCGTTTTGTTATTGCCTTCTGTAACAGGTACTCAACCAAAAGCTAATCGTCTGGGAAGGTACTTAGTCCAAACACTCTAAAGTAGTAGGATAACTGGTTGGAAAATATATTCCTAGCTTTTTAACAAAATATTACTCGGAATCTGTTGACAAGTTTGAACTGTGTGCTTTCTTCTAGATGTCGCAACTTATGTTAGGCACGTAGTACTAATGTGGCTTAAGCGATCTAACAAACCACAATTTGTCTCTTGTCATTAACACAAAAAGAAATCCCTAAATAACAACTGCTTAGGTTATTCACGCATAATATCCCGTGTCGATGTTTTTAATGCGTTGGTCTACCCTTTTTAAACAAGCTTTTTTATTCAAGTTTCAATCTGTATAATGGCGAATCATTAATGACGATGATTTTTCATAGAAGCACCTTGTTTTCATAAATTAGTTGTCATTACCAAGTCTTACCGATTTAAAGTTTGGTGTCGTAGTTTAAATAGCACCGCATCTCATTTTGTTTAGTTTCTATAGATTTACTGCTCTACGCATGAAATTCCGAGTAAAGCATATTAGGGCGGATAATATTCGATTTTGTTACCTTAAGCAACAGGTCGTTGAATCAGTATCCTCAGAAATCAGTCTTTTTTCAACATAATATCCGGTATTAACTCAATTTTTTCATTTTTACCAATGTGGTACTTTTATTAGGTTTGACTCTTCGTCGTCAAGTTTTGGTGATGACAATTCAATCCAATCCCCTAGCGCCGGCGCAGTAGGGGAAGCCGAAATTAAGCTGGCACTTCAGCAGCTGCAGACACAAGCCGAGTTCCAAAACCAGGTGTCTCAACTCACCAGTCGGTGTTGGGATCTCTGTTACACTGGTGCTCCTGGAACAAAACTGGATGACAAACGCGCGAACTGCCTCAAAAATTGTGCCGAACGCTACATAGACGTATCTGTGTTCCTTCGTAACCGGTTTCAACAAATGCTTTCAAAGGCTCAGCAACAGTAGTGCAATGTCCACGTGTAGTTCAACATTGTAGATATTTCTAATGTAAACACGGCACTGTTGTCAATTCTATTAACATCATTTCCGCAAAGAAAATCGGACTATTTCAACAAGCTCTAACAACGGAAGGGGAACGAATGTCTAAGAACATGCTCACTACTTTCAAGCGAATCGAAAGCGAATTCAGTGCTGTTCCCAGAATCTTTCAGACACATGCTTCGCAGAAATGCTCTCTGGTTGCATTTCCCACACACGGGCCTCAAATTCACTGGCAAGCGCGCGAACAATTAATTGCTCTTAAGTAAATAAAAGATGCACAAGGGATCTGACAACCAATTTGCAACATAAGTGGTGTTGGGCTTTCCCTGATCCATCGTCGGTGCGCGTCGTTAGGTGGCGGACACTTTAAGATGCTGATAATGCTACGAAAAAAATGCTAGGGTTCGCAGGCGAGTAACTAGGGGCATCGAACACAGTCGTTAAATGCCGTCAATAAGCGAGCTATTTAGCAAGTAAATAACAAGAGTTAAGTGCTAGGGTAGATACCTATTTTCGTTAGATCACTAGTTGGCAGTATTAAATACACCCATCTACAAAAGTACGGTGAATGCATCAACATAGACACGAGCGAATTAGCAAGGATGTCATTTGATAGAAGGGTAGTAGGCAAGAAACGTGGAACAGGATGGATCACAACACGAACAGGAATGAAAGGGAGATCAGGAAGTTTTTGGGAACATGACAGGCCATTATCGTATGCACACGTAACAACATAAAGGGCACGCGAGCTCATCCTCCACTTGTGTAGAGTGAGGAATAAATCAGTAAAAAGAGGTTAACTGATAAAGGCGAAATCATTTGGAAGTGTGTGGAAAGGAGTCTGAGTAAGTAATCACCAAGCCTCGTGGACAAAATTGAGGCGAAAATGCAGGAGAAGATTGCTGTGTTACTAACGTGTAACCAATCGGATTGTAATGGAGATACACCGTCTTATCTCGACTCAGTGACCAGAATGGATGAGATGCATTCGGAGACCGAAGATTTTGTGCTCCTGACTGTCACGCGGAAATTCTAAAATTAATATTGGTTGGTAGACGTCAACAATGTCGATCAAAGTTCATTTCATGCATCAAATAGCAGGACAATGATGGTGCCAATATAAGTGCTGCCTAAAAGTTGTTGCTTCATAGCACGGAGATAACAAATTTTGAAACCTCACAAGACTTCAGGCGTGGTATGTGAAATCATACTATCACACAATTAATTGAATCCTTTGCACAATTTGGCCACAAGAGCTTGGGATTTATCATAATTGTGCTGAAGAGGGCCGAAACGCGCTAGCGTTCTAACAGCTAATTGTGAAGTTATGCATGGGAGTTAAGCGGGTGCGTCCGACCCCAATTTCGCTAGTCAGAGGCCTTGGGTATACCCGTGTGTTTGGCTTCGCTGGGACAGGCTATGAGGCTGAAAAAGCTGCTGGTGCTTATTAAGAGGTGCGAAAAATTCACAAAAGAGGAAGACATGCCGAGTGTTTTTTCACTAAACTTACACTGGATTCTATCCGTACCAGAACGCCAACCTGCTGGCTGGCAGTATGAACGATTCCAGCACCAACGATGTTCGTCGGGCAGGGGTCAATATGCGGCAGGATGCTCAGCCCTGATCCGGCGATCTAAATTGTTATAACAATTTGCTGATTAGAGAAATCTCCCGAAACGCGATTAACACGAGCCATTTCTACACCATAAATGGTCAGTGTTTGAACAAGTCAAGAGCTGATCTTAATAAGCAAGAAAAAGACCCGATTTTTAGGGGGCATATTCTTGAAAAACCAGAGCACAAACATCCTTAGTTCAACCACACATCGCACTAATGAGGTGGTATAGTTCAAAAAACGCTTAAGGCGTTATCGAGTCGAACACAGACGCATACCCAAACAAGTAAGAAGGGCACGCTTAAAATGGCAAATATTAACTGAGAGGTATAAAATGACGCACCCGCTGCTTGATCTCCTCCAGGTTGAATGACAGCTTGGCACCAGCCACTTTTTGGCATTCTTGATCAGGTCTGCAAAAAGGCACCAATATTCAATGCATAAGCAACAGGGGGACCAAAAGGCCGAAATCCCAGAACAAAAACATTACCCTCACTTATATACGTTGCAATTAAGACTCAATATTACAAAAAATACACAATGGTCAACAGAGTTTTGTGTACTGGCAATATGAATTACGCCAAGTTTTGGCGATTACTTTAAACATGGCTGCATTCTTTACGGTTCCTACATGCAAAAACAGCCTAATTAAATGAAGCCTCCCTTGACAGCTAAGAACGCCAAAGTCAAAATTATCGTCCTGCCGATTAATACATCTACCATCGCAAAAATTAATCTGAAATACTAGAGCAGTGACTTACGCATTCAACAAGTTGAACATTGATTAGCTATTACCGGATATACCGACCTACATTCAGTCCAGGGAAGACTTCGGCAATTAATTTGAGTTCCGGTGGAATTGAGAGATTAAACAGTGGTAGGAGGCTAGGTTTATTGAAGAAGCCTGCTCATTGAAATGCAACTTATAAGCCCATTTAGCGTTTAAAAATCGCAACATAAGCGACGTGCAGGATTCCTGCAAACGGTTGTACAGCACGAAGCGAAATTCGTGCTTAATACATACAAATATAGAAAACAGAAATGGTTGTAAATTAGGCCTGGAACTGATTTGGGGTCATGCGTAATTGAAATTATGCAGCCTGCAAAGCAAAAAACGCTTTTGTCGAACTCCGCCTGGTTAACCCTGATTAGAACAGAATAACTGAGATACTTTTACAGTCTTAAAAGTTGGTCAAAGAACTCGTAGGGCAATTTGCCACACGCTCACACACACTGTTAACGAAATGAGTTTTAAACAGGAAAAAAGCTCGTAAGAATTTTACCGGGCAAGCTAACTAAGGTGCATTTGATAGTTTACAATACGAAAATGTTGCCTTCTTTATGAACTATGGCCCCAAATTGGCCAAATTAATCTGCTACTGTGCCTCAGAGGTGCATGTGGAGAACAAAAGTAAAGACTAATGGAGCACGTCGTCTACTTCATCAAATAAGGTCTTTTTGGAGTTCAAATATAGCACGAAGAATGCCAAATGGCACTTACTGACAGAGAAGCTTCCAGCGAGAAAAGAACGTTGGCTGATCCATGGATGCGGGTTGCATGAACTTGTTGAGGAAAATCGGCAGGGGTAGCGACAGGCAGGTAGAGTTACTTTGATGCCTTAAGGACAAAAAAAGAACCTGTCATGATCGACGATTTAGAGGAGACGCAGTTCACAGTTCTATCAAAACATTACGAAGATGCAGTTCTGTGACACGACGCAGCACGCGGTTTCATAGCCTCCAAATAAAAAACCCAAGTAACGCAGATCCAAGGAATGCAAAATTAAAACCGGCATAACAAATAAAAGACCCACCCTGTAATGTTTACTGCTGTTTAATGCTAAAAAATAGCTACTGTGTTAACTGAATAAGCATATTAAAAGCATGAGTTGTGAGAGAGTGAGTGAAAAAAAGTTGGATGTACGAATAACCCCGTCTCAATTTTAAACCACACATTTTCGAACACTGAATAATTAAACTCACGAATAGGAGATATTCAAGACAGGAACCTCCGAGAAATCTGTGAGACATTCAATGTTGAGGGTTTGGGGTACCTGTTTTTCGGGGTCAATGGTGGTTGGAGCAGAACGAAAGTCAAAATTCAGAGGACTCCCACCTGTCGTCGCAGAGACCTCCAAAAATACCACTTTGGGATTGAATGAGGTAATGGGTAGACCGCTCTTATTGCCATAGAAGAGTTGAACTCGACCCAGATTACCCTGGAACTCGGAACGATAACCGATTTGGATCAGGTGGTTTTCATAAAGAACACCTTGGTGCCTGGAAATGAGTCTGCAAAGGAAGAAAATAGAAGAAAAGTTAATAGCGGAACATGGAATTAGCCTCAGAGGTGTCCAAAATGCTGAATGACAATGTGTTGGGAAAGGACCAAGGTTTATTGTCTATTCGTTCCAAAGATTCGAGAGTAAGACATTCCAAAAAGTATCCAACAATCGAGGCGCTTGATGGCACAAAGCACAACGGAAAATGGAAACAGCCAGAAATAAAGGAACATGGTACTTCTGCTTCCATAAAATAATCTACGCTAAATATGAGCAGCACATAACTAAGAGGTGAGCAGTGGAAATTAACCTGATGTGATCCATGTCGAGATCGGCTAGTGTCAAAGGTCGAGGCTGGGAGAAGGATGGGGCGCTTGTGCCACTCTCAATCACACCGTTGCCCAGGATGTCAGCCAAAAACTGACTGTTACTGTCGGCAGTCGCGGGCTTCGAAGTGTCGGCGACGGGGACGCTGGCAGCAGCAGCAGTCGGTGGAGGCGTTGCTGTTAAACCGAGGCCGAGCAAATCTGCCTCTGCTGTGTGACCGTTCCCACGGGCCTGGGATAAACGAATGGAATGAGGTAAAATGCCGTGACACGCGCACAAAATATCACCCATGAACCAAAGCGCATCGTACAAGATAACTAGTCACAGGGAGGGATTTCATTTGGTGTGATGTGAGTTTGTGTGGGTCGAATGTGCACGAGCAATGCCAGTGTATGCGGGACCGGCGGGTCTGCCTTCAAAACCCCTAGAATAGTCATTAAAATTTCAAGTAGCTGCGTTTTTATCTGCTTGGTGAATTCATTCGACGTGCCTTTCGGTGAATTTCATCCGTAAGGTCCAATACCAAATCCGAAGAGTGACAAATGCATCCCAAGTTTTACAACGGAAAAGAAGATTTAATTTGGTTGCGAAAAAGCAACCCCACACAAGAAATGGATGAGTTTGATATTGTTCAGGGAAATGACATTACACGCTTGTCTCACTAAATTACCACACTTCCCTTAATTTTTTTGAAAGCGCAATATCACCAGGGTTCGGTGTTTTGCCAGTTTCACCCCTGAAGTATCAAGTGCTCAAAGGCACGATGTGTAATCAGCGTCAGAGGTTTCATCGTTTAAAGCATATTTCTAATGTTGAATCTCTTATTGTACCAGGTCTACACGAAGCAACCCCAGCGACACGTTCGCGGTAAATTCAACTACTTCTCAAGGTTAAAATAATAAGACTGAAATCTTTAGCAGTCAGAGAGAGGACCTCGGAGTGCGAACAAAGAAAAAAAATTCCTTGACCAGAGAGATGATCTTGCTCACGTGAATTCTGGAGATTCGGTTATTGGTTCAAATTTTTAATACAACGAGATATAAACGTGACAAATTTGTGCCAAAAATCGTCTTTTTTGCCATGGTTCTAATGAGAATGCTGATGACAAAATGTAACAAAAAACCTGCCATCACATTGAGGCGGGAAAAGGACAAGAATGTTTACACGTGCGTCGACTTTTGTGCTACACAATATTCATCGATCAACTTGCAAAAAAGAAAACATTTGACGTATTGATATGCGTTTGCACTAGCTACTTGCTATGCATCCATCTTTAAAGGAAACTACAGGATAACAAACAATAAAGCGGGCAAGGCTTTAGTTACCAACAGCAGACAAGGTGTTATAATTCGATGGCTATCCTAAAGGGCCCCTTTACAAACCCTACATACCGCTCTCGTATCAGTAAATGCACAGGTGACGTTCTACATTTTCGCCCAACTAGGGTTTCCATAAAGGTGAAGTACTAGTGTTATGGGACTAAATGCATCCATTAAAATTTAAAGCAAATTCAAGTGGAACAAAATAAACAGTACACGAATATTTAAAAACTTTAATTTAGTTACACTTAATCACACTATCTTCTTACTCTTTAGTAGGAGATGAATTTAAAGCACGCATTTAGCTGTGACATGTAGGTTGAATGCGAACAAGAACTCCTTACACTAACTATCAAGCATTATGCAACATGAGTGCTTCTGCTGGTCAACAGACTTCCACATTTTCACAAGCAAAAAATGCACAAATGTCAAATTTACCGAGAAGAGGATGGATGTAAATCCCCCTAAGTCAGGAGCGAACAAAATCGAAAAAAACCTGCAAGCCCAAATCTTACCGATTGCGTTTTTTCCGCGTCATTTGTCGAAGAAACCTTGTGTGGTTGTTTATCGCCGGTCTTTGCACCACAGAGACCATCAGAATCTGGCTTCTTGGCTTTGAGTTTAGCGAGAATGCTGGACTCCCTTTCCGGGAACGGCGGCATTTCCTCGAGAACTGTAGCCTAGAAGGGGAATGATGTGGGCTGAAATTTGGACAATGAACGTGCATTTTAACCGACCAGTGATCCTCCACATGAAACCCGAACGACACATGAAACCACATAGCAACGAAATAGGTCATAAACCGCAAAAGCGCGTCGTTACGCTATGTACAGATGCACGAAGGACAATAATGAAGTCCTTAAAACAAACAATTCAGATTAGTAACAAATGCGGCCAGTGTACAACACCCAGATGGGTCTAAGCACAGGGTTTTCGAGATGTTCAAATATCCATAAAACGGTACACTATTAACAAATCGCAGACCAAGACAGTGGGGTCAAAAAACGTAAAGTCACCTATATTTACACGGACATTTGAGTACATTCAGCAATTTTGCAAAAATAGTACGAGAGATAATATTAGCCCCTAGAGAAAATGACCATCAAGTGCTAACAACTACAATGAATCGACATGTCCATGTGCTCAGCAGCATCGACCTTAAAAGACGCGAACGCATAAAGAGGCGGGGACTGGTAAAGGTTGTATCGCTAACATAAATTACGCCTTTAATCAAACAACCCACTGGTTGGATAATCACATGCCTGTCTTCCTCGATGACTTCACTGCCCACAGCCCTAGTACTGAGTTAAGCTAACAAACTTGGCTCGACGCACAAAGTCCAAAGTGAAATACATAATTTAAGGGCATTGTATAAAAGGCTGTTAACTAACCAGAATGTCATTAGTGGTGAATTTAGAAAGGGCTAGGTATTCAACAGAACGCTGCTGTATTTCGACATTTGAACTGCGGTAGTTGTTATCCTGTGAAAGGACCTCAACGATGGTGTCCTTTAATTCGGGGAAGAGGTTAATGAGCTTCACGTAGGTTGATAGAAGAAGCTGGCGCGTCGTAGGCGTGCACAGATGATACTTACTATGAATAAGCTCGAATTGCACCTTTGGTCTAGAGGAATAAACAAATTGAAGCAAGCTGACATAATTTGTTTACGATTCCAAAATACCGTACAATTTATGAAGTCTGAACTAGTTTAAAGTCTCATACTAGTCTCGTTGGCCGCAACATTAAGGACGGAGAAAGCAGATACGTAGACGCTTCTACAGAGCCCAATTGTATGCTACGAAATGTGACAACTGCTCACTCTTTCAAGAACTGCAGAAAATTCCTTCCAATCCTCATTTGCAGTTAAATATTCTTGCCTTTGTAAGCGGATTGTATTTTCGCGTGGAAACAGACAAACCACATTGTTGCTTACACACAATGAAAGGGAATCCGGGGAAAAGTGTTCGCGGTTTAGTACAGGTACAAAAGTAAGCGGGGCGTCAGGAAAGTAAACTCACGAAGAGCGTGCGTCACCGGCAATGAGGTTACCGAATTCACCCAGAATGTAGCCACCAACTTTGATCATGTTCTCGTGACACGCTGGGGCTGTCAACGCCTGAGGTAAAAATAAACCACATAAACACAAACAGATCGAAGGCAGATGTACAACACAAACCTATGGAAAATATTTAAAGTCAAGCACAAATAGGGGCAGATTCATCTCCTACTTACAGCCTGAAGACGAAGCCAGTGTGTACACTTAGCACCAAAGTAGATCGTTATTTTGAGTCTAGCGCAAAAGACCTACACAAATACTGTAAAGCATAAAGAGCATTGTGATGGTGTTTTCAGCATTTATAAGCTATCTTATGCGTTCTCTGGTTCATACCTAATGCATGATTAGCAAATAATATGATCCGATGATTCTTTCCAGCTAAAAGGGATTTGAGGTAGCAGTGGAATTAATGAAAACTGGCATACAAATAGCCAAAAGAACGTGAATCAAGCGAAACTTACATCAAAAACTGTCTTGGCAGCATATGCCTGGACGTCTTCGCGATTGACAACGATTTGTACAACGCGATGCCAGACTTCGTCACTGACGTAGTCTCCGGCCACACGGATCAGCATGAGAATGGTGTCTACGTACCAGGAATAGTCAGTGGCGTACTTTTCCGCCAGAATAGCCACCTTCAGGACCATCTCCTCCCGGATGGAATAATCCGCTGTCTCTAGATAGGACAGCATCTCTCCGACTATAGCTTGGGCGTTGGTCCTGTCGCACATTGCGTAGAGGAGATCAGCAGCGCGTTGGCGCACAGACACATCACGTTCCGTCTAAGGCGGAAGTTAAGAAGCATAACAACTACAGCACGTTTTAAAAAAAGCCGTTTTTAGTAATTTCATTGACAAACACAAGTCATCGGCAATTAATTCATAAAAAGCGGTGGTATAGTACAGAGGCAGAGTCTAAGAGCGCAGTTAAAAGTAGCACAAAAGTAAAACCATAGCAATCCGAACAGTCCACCGGCACTATCATATAACGCTCCGAACATGGACAAATTCCGCATCTATTTCGGTATGGGTGAATGATATTATAATCCAATGGGTTAGAAAAAAAAAGGAATTCTAAGCAAAATCAATACCCAACCATATAGGGAAACGATGAGCTTCCGATGACTATACAGGACATCATCTTAGGCTAACATCGTGTACTACATGATTTCGGTGATTATTTAAAAAATGAGCCAGATTTCAGATGGCTGACGCCAGTTTTAATTTCGATAACGTGAACAGACCTCAGAATAAAAGTGGCTAACAAATAACAGACATTTTAAGCTACACGCAATGCAGTTCGATTCCAAAAGCAAAATTTGAAAACACAAAAGGAAACACTTACAAGTCGTGGTATTTATACGTCTGATTGGCTTGATATTTTTTTATGACAGATACCAAAATTAGTAACGGGTCGCAGCCACTCATAGCAACTCCCATTGCGAACAACGTTTTGCCACGTCCTAACACCTCATATTCGAGTTATTAAACTGCATTTAACCGAACGGGTGATATTTAGGGCAAGAAATTTCTATACATTTAATAACACTCATGTAGATGGAATCAGCCCACGTAAACCATCCCAAGATCAGCATGATTTCAAGACAAGGCTGCTTCAATTAACCAAGACAACATACCAGAAAGGCGAGGGCACATAAATATTCTCCCAAAAATTTCACAGAACAAATTGAAAATGCCTTGGTGTCACTGCTGAAAAGTGACACCAAAAACATTCTACAATCCCTCAAGTTTACTTTAAAATGACCTAATTAGACCAAAGTCAACCGCACTGAACAGAGGCGGTGATCAGGGTGGTTCGACCAATGGAGCCGACATGTTTAATCAAATAATGGCATTTTCAAAGAGAACACAAGCCGTCCATTCAAAATATTCTTCACTTATCAGTGCTTGACTGACCTCAAGGGAAGTCTTAAGTTAAAAATAAAGCAAGAAGTAGATGCAATGACCGTTGCCATTACCTTGAGGGCATTTACAATTGTCTCCTGGTGTTTCTTAACAGCTTCGTGACTAAATTCGCTCGTGGCTAGGAGGCAGAGTGATTCCAGTGCCAAATATCGAAGGTTTGTTTCCTTGTGTTGAAGAAATTGGCCCAGTTGATTGCAGGCGCGAACCAATAATTTCCGATCGCAGTCCATATGGATTATCAAGTTAATGGCTTCGAAAAGGACAGCATTTTTGGCATTTGGGTGCTGAACCTTTTTGGACTTGGGTGGTTCTTGTACCTTCTTAAGAATTGTATCTAGGCAATCAGTTAGCCTACAACGCACTGTCGTGTCCTCTAAAAAAAAACAAATTCATAAAAGGATCAAGCAGCAGCACCCACTATCTATGACTTAAACACCGCTCAAGTTTCATCAATATTGAGTGCACAGTATTGGGGATCTTAAAACAGACCAAAGCTACGGCCTCAAATTTGCTTGCTGTCTCAAAACTAGCTCCTTGATAACATGGCAAAGTCTTGGGAATGAGGCGGAAGCTATGGTTAAACATCTGAACTATTTTAATACACTCACTATATAGGGAAAGAATATATGGCGGTGTTATTAACATAATCAATAATTACAACCCTACCCAATAAGCATAAGGTAACTCGTTGCTCGAATAATTGTTCAATCCAGCCCTACTGAAGCAAAACCCCATCAAACTTTTGTAACTTAGATTAGTTAATGAAATAATGTCATGGAAGCAGACGTCGATTTAGGGAGCGCTAAATGAATAAAGGCAGATGTTGTTGGACGGTGATAAAGGCGGTTTGGTAGAAGAACCGACGGTATACAAGACACCTAACCAAAATGCATCGCATAAAGGAATGTACTGCAGCCGATAAAACTAGGGAAGACACCCGTTTCATAAAATCCGACACGAAGGAAGCCTGAGTCTTGTGCTATAGGAAAATATTAAGCTAGTAGTCATGAGTACCAGTGTAATCAAAAACTGAAAAAGCACACGACAACCAGTTAAACCTAAAGCATGCATAAAAGCATGGTAGGTAAAAGTATGACCAAAATAAACTGTCAATATAGCCAAATCAATCACGATTAATGAAGTAGTTTTGAAACAGGCGCGAATCCATACGAGCATGGATTCTGAAGCACTAAAATTTGTACGAAAAGTAACGGCAGGAGGACATAGGACAAACAGAAATGTTAGATGAAAAAAAGAGCTAGTTAATGAGAAGTTGAGACAGGTTTGAACTGTTAGCTACCGATAAAACCGATTTATTACGCAAAATTCATCCACCTAAACGGATGGCCTATGAGAACCTGCTTCCTCACGAGTGCATAGGCATTGCACCATTATATTAGAAACAGGAGCCCAACAATAGAAACCAAAGGAGCTCAGCTACATGAAAAAGCATTTTTAACAGTAACGCCATAAATAATTTACCACGGACCAAGTGAATCCTTTACGTTAGGAATAAGAAAACACACCAATAGTGATTTTTTAAAAAATTCAATAGATTAAACGCAACCACACTTTAATGTATATTGACCTATTAACGTACCGACATATATTATTAAAAAACAGTTTCATCAAATCTGAAATGAGGTAAGATGTCATACACACACCATGTGCAGCGACATTTTGGAGTACGTTCCAGTCACGCTCACATTGAAGGAAAAAATTAAAACAACCCCCGAATGCGCAAAAAATGACCAGACATATAATTAAATAAAAGGAAAGGTATGCTCATACGACTCTAAGGTTAGGAACTAGCACCTGTTCCAGCACAAAAAAGTAGGTGCATAACTTACCGGGCGGGGGATAATTTTGCAACAGTCGTAACAGTTTGACGGACAACCAGGGAGCAGTGACAAAGTAGTAGGTATAGTCCTGCAAGTCTGTGTACGAAGAAGTGATCAGCTAAATAAAAGAGAATGTAAATGCAGCAAAATGCACTTGGCTCCAAGTTATCCTCTGGTTAGATAAAGAGAACGCGAAATTTGACGGCAGCAAGGGTATACGTGGCAATTTTGCACGACCACACATAAGGCCAAATCATGTTCCAAAACAAAGTGCGTTTATAAACGAACGTGGTAACACGCAAGCTTTATCATCTGCGCTGCAAGTACGTCTGTACGGGTGCAGTCAGCAACACCCCGGTCTTGTGCACCTGGAAACAGGCGAGTGGACCTTTAGTTCAAGCTCAAGTAAGAAGGTAGGTAAATATGATTGTGCACCGCTGCATAGGTCTTGTATAAATCCGGGAATCGGTACAAATTTTGGCCTAAGTAAGACGTGAAGAAGACTCCGTAGTTAAATTTAAGAGTTTGTCACTTTCACAAAATAGTGAACTCACAGTGTGATGTGAGTTCACCGGAGATCGGAGACAATGTTTGCAAGTTATTTTCATCAAAGGGTATCAGGCAAAGCAAGCCTTATTTTACACAAGAATGATGCTTAATTTATGATAACTGCACGTTAATAAAACGTATAAATTTAAGAATTTGTGAAAATATGAACCAAGTGAAGCTCAAATGCGTGAGATAGGTCGTTAAACTCACTCTACATAGACGAGCGACGGCGAGTGGGACACAACTTTTACATTCCTCTGGGTTTCTTTTTATAAGCTCTTCAATGAGGCTGACAGCAGATGTCACAACACCCTACAAATAATTTCGAGTTGTTATAAACTGGGATTTGCAGGCAAGCGTTAAAACTAGACATTGGAGCCTACCAGGTGTGGGTCATTAAGCAAATGAATTGCTCTAGAAGTCCAATCCAGATCGGTCATTTGATCAGGAGCTACACGAAGAAGACGCAACAGACAAAGTGCCGCATTTTGTTTAATCGAGTCAGACGTCTCTCTACAAAAAGCTAATCAGCTACGCAAAATATTCCACGCACCCAGAAACCAGTAGTTTTGGGATTTCTGAACCGAATTGCTCAGCCATCTCCCGGTTGCCAATATTAGCCACACACTGGAGAGCAAGATTGACAAAGGCTGCACTGCGGCTCGACATATCATCACGAATGCGGCTGATTACAAGATTCATGAGTGGGTGATTGTCGTTTAACAAGACAGATATGAACAAATATCCCTTTGATGTTATTAAAGTAAAAAAAACGAACATACTATCTGCTTCTCTGTGTAGCGATTTGAACAAAGAAGATTTACTGCTTCAGTATAACCAAAATCGATATCATGACCCAGGAGAAAAATGAAGAGAAGCTTGCAAACGTACTTCTTTTTATGGTACCCATCAAGCATTTTATCACCTGAAAATAAAATTGTGATTCTAAGATGTAAGAAAGAATTTTTAATCCTTTAATTATTATGCTTTTGCCGTTTCGTAAGCATAAACAACAACTATTACGTTCCACGTATAAAAACGCAAAATACACGAATGAATTTCTTAGAACAGGATATCACCTAAGCGCACAATATAATACAAGCAGGGAAATCTACTCAACGTTAATAAATGATACTTAAATCATTATAAAAAAGTATAGAAAGGCGGTAAAAAGCCAATTCTGTCAAGAAATGTTAAAATGACAAGCATTAATGGAACCTCATACCTTTGAATTTGGACCGTATGTTTGCAAGTTCCTTGTTGATTCGCTTAATTTCTGCCTCTTTGCTTTTACAGTTCCTGATATCCGAGATGAACACAGCCAGACCTCTCATAGAATCTCCCTTTGGAGCAGGCATCTTTGCGAAGAAATATCGTACTAGGCGGGTTTTACACGGGACATTAAAACTTACATCCATTTCGATTATCCTTAGAAGTTAACCCGAAAGTTTTTGACTGTAAAGATACATCACGTTACGCTTAATATATAATGCCTGCAAAATTGTATGTAAATTATTAGGGTGATAGAATTCGGAGTATCTAATTATAATACTAGTTGGTACAAATGCAGTGGCCGGTTTGATTACTTTCTCATCAAGTATCTTATAAATGAGTGCTTATCATTTGTGTATTGTGTTGTCGAAGCTTCGGTCGTTTACACATCATCAAGCTACCTTATTTTGAAGAAAATGCGCTACATGCGATCAACACTAATCTAGTATTAAAATCGAATATCTTCCAAGTTGATCAAGCGCGACCTTTATTTTTGCAAATTTACGTTGTTTTCTTCATTAAAAAATGTGCATAAATGTTATTACTTGCTCACCATAATGTGAGGGATTACTGTGATTTATTATGAGTATGTTAGATATTTAAGGCACAATTACTAAATCACTGTATTTTAATGTTTGCTATAAGTGACTTTCAGCAAATCTTTCATCAAAAATACGCTAATTTACAACATTAAAATTGTAACCATGATCTATATCTGAGAGATAATTATGCAGCCACACATAGTATTTTTGAACTTTATAATGTGTGTAGTGTACGCAATAATGGGTTAACTTTTAGAGTGATAGCATCAAGTATGTGAACCAAATGTGACTGTCGATAAGTACGCTGATAGTTATGCCACATTACCACTAACGGTTTGAACAGTAATAAGAACATACAAATGTAAATGAGAAAGTTTAGATGCTCATGTTTTTTTTTTTAATGTTAAAGTACCGACATGTAATTTTAATGTATCAAGTAATTGGGCTAGCTATGCTAGAAACACCGTGGCAAAAAAACTAACGATGTAGGATCACCTTAATTGTCTTTCCAGGTACCTTTTTTCTTAAACACATTTAGTGCATGACTTCAGTAGCATTATCAAAAATATGGCATAGTAAGTCGCACATCAAAACGTGTCTAGAAATTTAGTCACGCTTATGAGATTTTGCATGGTAGCATGGTATCCTCAGTCTATATTTATCAATATCTTTTACTGTTTGACTCGAATGATTCAGAAACTTGATTTTACAAGAAATATTGATTCGAGGCCAGTAGCCAATTTCTCTTCAAAATTCATTCCCTAAATTTCACCAAGGTTTGTAATTTTTATGAGTCGGCAGTTACTATTGCACTGTGCATATTCTGGATGATTGACGGTTTTTATTCAGCTCTGAATGAGTTTTTGTTACAAATACTGACATTCATTGTGAAGACAATCGTAATACAGTTTGAATGAGTCTTTGCATAACACTAAAACTCATTCCTTTTGTACTGACGTAAATATGTCGAATCCATCTTTTGCAGTATCAACGTCAATCAGTTAAGATATATTCTGTCAAGTTCCTAATGTGGCAACCGATAGTGAAGCAGTAACGGTTTAAAATCTCAAATTGAAGTATTTAGAAGTCAAATAATTGCTTCATGTGTCTTAAATCTGAAATCTCATTTTTGTCTCCACATATTTTATCATAACTCACAGTGAGAAATTTAAGATTAAACAAGTGTAAAAAAATTCACTCACTTTTATTTGTGTTTGTAAAACCAGCAAATCCAAATTATTCTTATGTGCTTTTAGTTTTGTTCGACATTGTAAACCTACTTTAGGTGTCATTAATATTCATGGACTACGTACCTCCACGAATTCTAGATCATTAAAGGATTACCTATTGATGAGGGTAGAATTACTTGAACGAACTTTTAGAGGACAGCAGCTGTCAAACCCGAAGTATTTGTCCCTATATTTGTTAACCCAGTAAATCTGATGATATCATATGATATTAGTATCCATTGAATAATTATGAGTTTGGTTGTAAATAAACGGAGCATAAAAACAATGCTAAGCAAAACAAATATCGGCAAATATATAAGAGGTAACTGTAGTAGTGACCAATTTGCAGGCTCCCGGAATGGTAAAAAATCGTCTTCATAATTATGATCAGGCTGTTACTTTAATTATTTTCTTGTCAACAAATTCGTCTGAATATACTAAACCCTCACATAATGCAGAAATCGAAGTGAAGTCGACTGTTTTAAATATCCTGTTTTGGGAAATCATGACGCGATAGTTATCGTAACTAAGTTGGCAAAAGTACTTTCACACAAAGCAGTTTTCTTGCCATGTATGAGTTTTTTGATCGCTTTTGATAATTTGTCTTTATATTGAAAATTACGTACACCGCACTTTTGACTTTTGAAAAAGATAAACTGCAATGGTTATCCTGGGTCATTTGTCGAAACAATTACAGAAAAATCTTTACATAACTTTATAGATCTTATCTAAGAAATGCAGCAAGTGTAAGAGGGAGGGATCCAAATTTGATATCACCAGCCAATTTTTTAATGCATATTTGTAGCTCAACTTGTGCGCTTCATTCCGCAATTTGGCAAAGCTAGCGTGAATTCTTCATCGATTCGCTTACTTTAACCCATCAACACAAATTTTGGGAAACAGTGGTTTCGTGTGTTTTAACTGAAAAATGATACTTCTGGTTTAAGCCGCATAAACCTGAATTAGCCCTTAACAAAAGTCAGATGCAAATGGTTCTCTTGTTGATAAAAGTTCTTGCAAAAAAGCAGAAAAGTGGCAAAATATGGTGACAGCTAAGTGTACTCAAATGTCACCATTAAGTAATTTAAATATACACAGGAATTCGGAGTATGCGCTTTATAGCATCATTATATCAGGCTAAGAAAAGATACTTCATTTTTTGTGGCAAAGAAAACACCAACATTTCGGAAATGTGTTTAACTTTCCGTTGTCATTTTCTAAGTTACGGCACACAATACAACACTTCAAATGCCACATAATTTTGCCACTTTTATACAAACGTCTTGAATCCACGGGATATCATGTTTCCTCCATTACCAACGGTATACTGCGTTCAGTGCAGGTGGAGAAGTTTAACCCCCACTGACTTGGAGAACGACCACAGTTGCATGGTCTAACTTCCCAGGCAGTCGCCGTAGAGTATCCATGATCCAAGCCCTGCGTCTCTCAAGTTCGCGCAATTCCTTATCGGTGTCAGTAGCATCTTCCACTCCCGCAGACGCGGAATCCTCACGAGCAGAGTTCTTCTTTCTCAAGTATCGCGAGAACTGTGCTTTTAGTTTCGTCGTCTCTGGTGCCTCAAGGAATTGACGCTTCTCAGTGGTAACATATTGTACATGTTTGAGCAACGCCTCGGCGAATTCCTTCGAGGAAATCTCGTTAGATCCGGTGTGCTCAAGTTCATACCAAAGTCTGGTGATCTCTTTGGCCACATATTGGCGACGTTCTGGCCACGTGAGTTCTAGCTGCTCAGTGTAATTAAGACTACGGGCGCTAACACCACCGGGAGAAGGAGTAACGGGGGGACGATCAGTCGACAGAGAGTGAGGAGGTGGAGGAGGAGGTTTGGGCCAAACAGGAAGTGTATAAGGTGTTGAAATTGGCGCCATTTTAGCCCAATTGTGGCGAAAATGCAAGACTGGCTTGGATGAAAGTGCGTTGTCATCACTCGCATCATTCTCGTCGGCAAACGTGATATCTGGAGGACGAGGAATAGCGATGCGAACAACGACCGGATCAAAGTTGTCGGTTAGTCCATCAGTCCCGAGGATAACTACATCTCCAGGATTACAAAGAGCGACTAAATTCGGAAAAAGAAAAGAAGGCGTAAAAAAGAAATTAGAGACAAAATATAGGGTACTGTTTGGCTGATATGTGCATACTGTTTTAGAATTAAATACCCAAATATAATTTTTTTACAGAACAGGAAAATTATACAAAACTAATACCACAACAAGGTAAAACTAAAATTATTCAAAGTGAATTAAAAATCATTTTCGATGGAAATTTTGCCTCACATGTAGCTTCAAAAACAAATAACCATCCAGCTAATAAAAATTTGACTTAGTGACCGGATCTTGAGGTTGAAATTGGCTGGTCCACCGAAATTTATTATAGGTTTCCAGAAAGATTTGATTGTTTCAGTAAATTTGAAGTACGTTTTCACCATGAATGACATAGGTTGCAGCCCCACTAGGGCAAAGACAGTCAGCTAACCATCAAATATTAAAAATGTCACGCAGTTGGTCCATGTTCCCATGGGAAAAACACTGCGCTCACAAATCATGGTTCACACATTTCCGTGCACATTCTGGAAAATTTGGAAGGCGATTCCAGTAGTATTGCTTTTCTTAAACCTAAATATAGACGAGGAGTAAATAATTATTTTCACTTTACTTGAAGTGGAAGTGTAAAAACACAATTTAGGATCAAATAAACGGTTTTTGCCGGTATCGAATCACACTAGTAAATCAAAGCTTATTTAGATGCACCCAAACCCTGCAATTTTTATGGGCAGGCAACGAAAGCCACACGCATTAGCTGATTCAATTCATGGTTCAAAAGTACAAAAAACTAAATTTTTAAAATGATTTCAAACTACCTGCACACATTAGATTTCGAAGTTCAGGTTCGCCTGATTCATACACTGGTCCAAGCGCTCCACCAGTGTCTCTGAAGTCCCTTTCAGGGGGTTCTTCGGGGTCACACCCTCCCCTCAACCCGTCAGCAACCTTAACGTCTGTGGAATGGGCTACAGGTACCCAGCCTGTTAGCTCTACCGCGTCAGTGCCATCTCTTAGCAGGAAAGCTTGAGAATCACCTACAGAGGCAACAATGAGAGCGCTGCAACCCTTCGACATATTGCTGTCACCAGAGCCATCGAGCGAGGACTCAAGGATGGTCTGCGGGGAAACCAGGGTGTCAGATTTGCGTGCATGCTGCAAACGATGGCGCTCACTAAGATGAACTGGCAGCAAAAGCCCCACACAGAGGGTTGAAAGACCACGGGTTTGAGCCACAATGTCGACGTGAGCTTGACGAAAGGCCGCGAATAGAAGTTCTGCGGCGTCCTAAAAATACGAGATGATGGTCTAACATTTCACATTAATATCTAGGAAGATATAGGCCCACTAAGACCACGAACAACACTCAAAATCCATTAACTTACCTTTGTGTCCAAAGTCCCTAACGCACCAACGAAATCGTTTTTTTACGAAATTTGTATCACGCGTTTTTAGAAAACTGGAATAATGTTACACAAGTTAATTTGCACGATTTAATAAATTTAATCTTTTTTCAGAGATAATTTACTATTTGAATAAATGTCCCATCAATTAGGTGCCCCTTGCGATGTGAACAGTCTACTCAGAAGCCAAAAGCTTCTGATGATTTCGTTTAAGATGGGTAGATCTTCCCTTTACAATGGCCGATTCTGGTTCCATGATCTTAATCAATAGGCCACAGAATGGAATTTGAAATTTACTGTTTGACCCCAGTGCACTAAATCCCTCAAGCAATCATTTCATTTTGGACAGAGCAACTTCTCCAATTCCGTTTTGACCGCTTATAGGAAAAAGTGTGTCATTATGGATCGCCAGTGGCCATTAAGACAGACGCAAACCTGCTCTTTAGAATGGGGTTTTATTGCATTTAACTACAAGATTTCGCAGAAAACCAATTAAAAGCATGACTAATGGCAGATTATCACTTATTTAAAGATTGAATAAAGAAATACAAACACCTCTGATTTATTATCAGCATGAATCAATCAAATGATTGTGCAACTTAGTTGGCTTTACGGAAATAAGCGAATTTTAAGGTTTAAACATTTGCTAACAATTAAATTTGAGTTATATAGCGTCTAGTAGAACTAGATTACCCAAACAAATAACGAACATACTTGAATAATTAAGCAGCCGAAATATATTGAAATGAAAACAAGAATGCAACCGTGTGAACAAATCGACGTTGCGCAATTCGCTAGAGAAAACCACCCATAAGGACACGCGGTGAATATGTTTTGCAGGATCCAAATAATTTACACTAGAGACTGCATGCGCACAATTACATTCCTTGCAACTAATCTATTATAATCTGGGGTGTGGTCGGTTGGGCAATTAGGACAAACAATGGCAGAAGCCAAGGCAACACAAAACCGCATACCCATTAGAATCGAACATAGAAACATAGAAAACGAATAGCCATGATGGTACATAACCAAACTATCTTTAAAGTAGTCTCCAAAAGCTAAAATTATTCATGGAATGTGAAGTATTTAAATTAAGACAACAAACAGGATTCACAGGTTAACAGCCTGCGAGAAATTAAACAGGGGGTCTCTGCAATTCAAATCAACAGTAAAATATCCTTTACAGGCAGATAATGAATCTATCAAAGTGGTAAAAACAGCTTGTACCATTTCTTAGCATACAACGTCTTGTTGTTCTTGATGTTTTGGAATATATTTGTCTTTCCAAGGTTTCGATTATTATTTGAAGGCTAAGAAAAAAGATTAAAAGATGTTGCACGGATCCAAAAGTGGTAGTGGAGTTAGGAATGAAAATGAGCTTCCCCTAAGGCGTAAAATCACACAGCCAACTCATCAAACACATAGAGAGTAGTAATTCATTACTGCTAGCGTTTGTAGATGGCATTCGACATCAGATATCAGGACAAACATTTGATAACAATAACACGAATTTCACTGTGTTTAAATTTATAAATCCCAAGAGGAAATTAAAAATTGCGTAAGACTGATACGCAGCTGAATCTGGTCAGTGAGAGTTCTTGTCATGAAGGATTCACGGTACATTCTTACTTTGACATACGCAAGTTGCATATTCATTAGCTTCAGATAATCCCCTAAATCTGCTAAGCCAGGAATGAAAATTAAAATATTTCAAACTAAAATATAAAAGATAGACCATGAAAAAATACACCCCTGGCATTATATCCAAGTCGAGTTTGCATTGCAGCAAAAGCAAACTTCAACTAAACGGAAAAACACAGGAAAGGTCAAAATCAATAAAATTACCACTGAGTCCACGAACGTGCCATTGCTTTTCTCTTAAACTCAACACACATACGAGCAACTGTCTCAGGTGACGCCATTGGTTTCAACTCTCGATTGTCAAAATGGCCCTTCAAACATACCCTGCCACAAGCCAATAAAATCACTTGAAAACAGGCTCAACAAAACGACAAGGCAATGTACTACGCAAATTACACGGTCGTTCGGAGCATCTACGCTCACTCTGAAATCAGTGAGGCGCCATGACAGGGTGGTGGCAAATGACCACAAAGGAGTTAATCTTTTTGTTCAACTGCATAACTCTTGGTGCAAGTCCCATCAGTATTTCCGGAGATTGGGAGAGTTCATGCGGGTTAACAACAAACACAACTTAAAAAGCGCCTGAAGAAACTGAGGCTTGAACAAGTGCGTTCCATTAAAAAGCGTAAGTTTTACAAACACCGACTCAAAGGCATCCCCAAGTCACAGTAGAGGGGAAGTCCGGTTAAAGCAATAAGAAAGATGTTGGTCAATAGATGACTGGAGTTTGAAGACTAATATGAGTGAAAATTCGGTTGATAAATATGGTCAACGCAATCAGGAGCCATATCACCGAGTCTTCAAAGTTTGAATACGATGCGTGGATTACTAGGCAAAGATCCTACAATGTTAGAAACCTGAATCAAGACAATATCGTAACACTATTAGATCCTAAAGCATCACTTGCAAATAAAATGTGGTCATGCACTGAAATGCCTAGAATGGATTAGTGCACAGTAAGCAGTAAAGGATATTTTTGAATTGCTGTAAATGCTTTTGACGCTCTAAACGGCAGACTACATTCAGACGCAGGTTGAAAAGACAATAATATGCCAATCTTTACCACAATCCTTTACAACAAAAATAGCCAACGAATCGGCGGAATCATTTTGATTCTGTGAAAGCTCAATTTCTGCGTTGCCTTTAAAAGTGCTTGCAGCTATTTCATCAATAGACTTACCTCTATATTTGGTGCACTAAACTTGAGAAATTTTAACAATTCCGAGATTAGTGTAAAGCGACTGGTAATACAACACATCGCTTCATTTTCGCCAAATCGTGGAGCTCTGATTATTCCAATTTTTTTCACTTTGTTCTTGGCACCATAAGACGGTTTAGTTATCCACCTACTTTGTAATGACTAAGTGTTTTCACCAAATTCTGCTAGCCACATATACAAGCTCCGTTTATTGCTCTAAATTTTGGCCAAATTCAAATGTTTTTAATTTTCAAAAGCACGCTGTTTGAATTTGCGTTTGTTTCATGAATTTAGTCAGAACTGGATAAATGATAGTTTTGAGTGAAAATTCCTTTTAAATGTTTACAAACAGTCAGGTTCGGCTAGCAGTCGTTCTTTCGACAATTTTATGCCCTATTCAAAATCACATTGGGTGCAGAGGTAATGCATATTGTTTCTCACAATATGTGTATGACAAAATCCGTCAGCTTATTGCTAGTGTACTTTTAAACAACATCTGATTTATAAAAAAAAGGTAAAAAGGTCTAATTAATAATTCATATTGTCTACCATCCTCAAAAATGCAAGTATTTGAGATATTTTTTCCTGAGCATCCCGCAAATAGTCAAAACTTACAGATAATTCAAAATATCTACACGGATACAAAATAACCTCAAATTACACACAGAAAAAAATGTCGCAAACGTTTGAAATCAATCTTCGTACACACCTTTAAGATGGCTGATGAGAAAAGTAGGTTTATTGGACGAGAAACAGCAGGAAGTTTGTTAAACGTGGAATCTTTAGCTCTGACGAAATATATCTTATGAACAAATGCCCAAAAAACAAATACGAAACGACACCTTAGGGGGAGACCAGTGCTAAACTGATTGAAAGCCAAACGAACAACACGAAGAAGAAGCGAATATGCATGAAAATGGCACTATTAAAAGTAACACCGCTTTGAAGCGATCTATTTACTTCACTTACACACATAAGATGAAAATTTTAGATGTCATCCATAACTTGAAAAACCTTTGCCATCATACAAGCCTAAAATGGTAACCAACGTGTCACATGTGCACGCATTTTCACCGGTATTTGAAGAATTCCTTAGTAGACTGCAGAATGTGAGCGAACCAAAGAATCGCAAGTCTCTTTACTCGATCTTTTTTGGAATCAAATACTCAAAGATAATTCAAGATCATTTTCCAAAACCTCATCTGAATGCATTAATTACTTAAATTACCCTCTCAACGTCTGGTCGATCCGTGGGAATTGTGTGAATAAGTTCGACTTGACCTGTGCTGTGTGTTAATGAGACGTACAAATTGCTGTCTTGGTGTTCCAAAGTGACCTCGAGGCATTAATTCATGTAACGAATGCCAAGTCTGCGCATAAACGTGACTCACGAAACCCCTACGTGCATAATTTAAAAGGTAAATTTCAGTAAAAAGTCAGACCCCAAAATTGTTAGACAAAATATAGAAAGTACAGATTTACTTAAGTAAGCAAAATACTTTCCACATTTACAAAACATTTTATGACAACTCTAGGCTTTTGCTTACAACTTCAATACGTCAGCATTATATCTTTCCAAACACTAATCCTAGATGAGTGCAGCATGTCAACCGTATTTGAATGCTTCAGGATAAACCATTTAAAACAGTTCTGCGGTTTATGAACCTAAGTAAAGCCATTCATGTTAGTAGAATTTAGCACTGATATTGAGGGAAAATCGAAGCCTCAAGTAAAGTCCATGCCAACAGCTGAAATCCGCCCTATAACTACACCCGAAAGACAAAATGGCATTAGCATTTTAAGGAGCTGTTCGGAAGTTTTGGTATCATTGCACTGTAGAATTAATAGGGCCACGATGCACACCCTAGACGAAATTTGATCCTGCAAAGTACTTAGATGGAACCAAACACCATACAAACCTGTTGCAGAATACTCTGCCTCACACCCATGCAGTTTGATCCCTATTTAAATTGGTCATTCGAAGGATTGCAATCCATGTATGTAGTTCGCGAGAAAGTTTAGAATCAATAGTTTTGCGAGAAAATGATTGTGGCGAATTCGTTGAGGTTGGTTGGTAGTAGGTACAGGCACTAAGCAGTCAAACTTTTTCAGGTTTAAGTTGGCATGGAACTTGTTTAAAACAACTTCACTTTCTCTCGTCATAACGGCCTAACCCGTACTAAGAAGAAAAATATCCTACCTCTGAAACATGCGTTCGCAACCAGAACATGCTAACAGGTTTCAAAGTGGGTTAAAACAGCTGCTTAGTTTTACCACTTGGCCTTTCCTGTTTTGCCTTTCATTTAACTCCAAAATGGTGCTTCCTCAACACCGAAAGCCTACTTAAAGACCACATTAAGTGTTAATTTGTTAAATGACTTACTCGCTTAAACATAACCAGGCCCTTTGACTTTCTAAAAGTTGGATTATTAATACGAAAGAGCATCAACTAATGGGTTTTCCTATCCAAAAAATATTTTCTCGGCAGTTCTCAATGTGTTTACAAAACCATTTACGAATAAACGCTGCCCTCTTTGCATACGGATTTCTAATGATTCATCGCATTTTTAACTTTAAATTCTATGCTTATGAAGGACGACAGCCATGCTATCCGTTTTATTTAACAGTTTGGAACGTGGCATCGAAGTAATGGCAAAAAAAACAACAAAACAAAGTCATAATTTTAAAAAACCCAACTTGACCATAAATGAGATGAGTGGGAGTCATATCAAAATAATTCGAGAACTTTTTCAATTTAACGGAATAATTAGCTTAGGACGGTAAAGTAAGAATGTTGATGAAAGACAAAATACCCACTCATGGCTTGAAAAAAAATATTTTAATCAATCAAAATGACGAAAAGTAGGAGTGATTTGCTTACTTTTTTAAAAAGACAGAACACAAAATGAAAAAAACACAAAATTATTATAGTTAGTGGCAATGCCAAAAGAGAACTTCATCGACAAGCTTTAATTAGGCAACAAGTTACCATAAGGTAATCAGCATTGACAGGGGTAATTACGGGCAGGCATTACCTTGGTGTTGCGGATTTTCAGGGACTCTGGACCACCGAGGAACAGCTTTGTTTCCAGTTGCTCGTAGATGGAGTTGATGGCGCAGCGGGCGGCCCGCATCGGCGCCTCTCCCCAGTTCACACCATCAGCCACAGCGAGGAAGGCACTGCTGTGACGCACCTTTATTACGAACGCATCAGCAATCGGGTCGCCTGCAGGAAGAAACCATACACTCGAGCAGGAATTCGGCTGCTAAACTCTAAGTTGCACCCTCAAGAACCAGTTAGAAGAGCCAGGACTCACCTCAGGCCAGGTGCAAGTAATCAAGTCATAAATTTCGTCGAATAAAGTTTACTTTTCTGCCCCCAGCAAAACGCCTCATCTTTTCGAACTAAAAAACTGAGTCTGGCGTGTGAACAATCCTCATTAGCCCTGGCATCCTCCCCAACCTCACACCCTTATAGGTCGTTCATTTGAAATAAATGCCCATAGCGGTAAAATATTTGTGCCGTCACAAAAATTTGGCTACGCAAACAAATCGAAAAATTTCTACAAACTTCTGCACTAAAAGCAGTACTTTAGCATCGTGGTTGTGTTTTGGCACACAACCTCTGCCTCGAGACAAAGCCGGTGGCATCTCATCACAATTCATTGTCTTGACAGTTTTACAAAAAGTGCTGATTTTAAAATAGTGGCAGAGTTTCTCGTGACACATTTCAAAAAAATTAAAGCAGGCACGTTTTTTTGTAAATTCATTTTAAGTTAACGTGGTAATCGGATTAGGTTTGAAAGCGGAAAACAAGCACTGAAGCACATTTGCTCTTTAAGTCTTGATTGTCAGTGTTTTTCGAGAAAAGATTTTTTTGATAAAACAGGTGATTTTGCGTTAACTTAAAAATGTTGACAACGGTTTCTTGACATTCACCACACAAAACGGTTTTTCCAGTATTTAGGAGGGCACAGTTACATTGTGCCAACAGATTTTCAGTATGAAGAACTAAATGAATATCAGGATGCCTTAAACAGGGGCGAATAGACGAAATGCTGAAAGATTTTTAAAGCCTTTCTGGTTTTGGATACAATCATTCATGTTTAGAAACGTTGTTACTGACCATAGGCTACTGTTTTGTGATTTGTGACTGATTTGCTTTAATCCAAACATCTATGGCGCTGCAGTACAGCCAAATTATCTTGTAACAACCCCAAACATAAGTTACAATGCCTCTTGGTCAGAAAAGCTTTCGAAGCATCTCAACATGGATTAGTGACCTAATGAATGGTGAGTTGGGCTAAGAATACATACGGAAATATGCATAAAGTCTTCGGCATTCCATTGCCCAGTATTTGAAAATAATAAGTCATTTTAGTCAAATGATTTGCATTACAAGCTTGCGTGAAATTTGTCGAAGCTACGAGGAGCATTAAAAGAACAATTAAATAGGACTGAACGGCAATATAGAATTCGCCACAGTCATTTTCTCGCAAAACTATTGATTCCAAACTTTCTCGCGAACTGCATACATGGATTGCAATCCTTCGAATGACCAATTTAAATAGGGATCAAACTGCATGGGTGTGAGGCAGAGTATTCTGTAACAGGTTTGTATGGTGTTTGGTTTGGTGTTTGGTTCCACCTAAGTACTTTGGAGGATCCAATTTCGTCTAGTATATGCGCGTGGCCTTAACAAAGGTGGGGTTACTTTCACCGCAACCACGATGGTTCCGAAAATTTCCTCCTTCGAATACATAAATGACGCTAATAAACGCGAGATATTCAGACATGTTTTAAAGGGAATCGTTGATCAATAATTTTGTGGTACACGATTTACAGCTGCAAATTGACATAGCACTGAGTTCTTTTAGTCCCAGTCAAGTTAAATAGACTTGGTGTACACTGCGGGACAAATGGCCACAGAGATGTTAGGCATGCACAAAATTGGTTCAACAGACATTTAGGAAAAACGCGTGAGTCATCCCACGGCAGGATGAGAAAAAGTAACAGTCGGTAATGCTTGTTTAGCGGTGCGGGATGCATATTCGTGAATTTACTACCACCGTGTTTCAGGTTTACTACATTTATCGACAAAGGAGAAACTTTTAGCATTGTACACAATAAACGGGTAAGCGTTTAGGAAAAAAACTTTTCATATAAGTAAAGCAAAACCAGAAAAGGATTTTTAGGGGAATAGACGAATGTCGACTAAAACGGAGATGAAATGCATCGGGTTTTTACAATTTGAAAAATGATATTACTGTAAGATGTCGAATAAAGACAGTACACTTTTAAGTTAAGGTTACGATTTTTACGTTGGTCTTGTCATTAAATAATTGGATTTGTCGCCATTTTACCCCTATACCTAAGTATTCCAGAAAATTTCGTTGTGGGTTTAAGTTTTAGAATATCGCCACCTAAAACTGTTTTGAATTATTTTCCTATACGCATATTAGTGCTTGTATAAGTTTGTACGGTAATTTTGTAGGAAGTTGCAAATAATGCCTAATTGTTGCATAAATTTATGGCTTAAACCAGAAAGTACATTCAGGCATCGTAAAATTGATCAAGTTCACCATAAAATTATTCCCGGTGGTGTTAAAATTGAGAAAATGAGATGTTGAACACAGCCCACAGAACTAAAATGCGATGTGTTTCAATAAAACAAAAAAATGCAAAAGCTTGCTAAATCAGTGAATCTCGCTAGATTTTGCGTTGTTTATTCACCGCTTGGTGGAACACATTGGCGTCTAGTAACTAGGCTTGTTGATCAAGAAATTGTTAACCTCACTTTCATTTAGAATTCTGCACAGCCTTAAGAGGTCAAACAGGTGGCTACAATAAAAAATGAATTCCGATGCCGTAAACACCATTTGACTTGGCTAAAACCACTTAAAAAGAACCCCAAACTAGCCTACAAATAAAATAAATTGTCTTCTTACATCTTTCAAAATCAAACCTCAATTGACTTAATAAAAAACAAAGTTAAAAGTGACTGAAAAAGGCATTTTGAAAAAAATACAGGTAGAGAGGCTGTAAAAAGCCCGGAAGAGATTGTAATAGTAGATTTTCCAGGCATAAAAGTTATTTCGAAATCACGGACTTTAGACCCCTCCGTCCTTTTTATCGGCCAAATGATGCCATTTTGGATAAAATGCGTACTTATGGCTTAATTTACCTACCCGATCCTTTGTTTCAGATTGCAGGGATTATTGTCAGCTTTTACTAGTTGCCTAATCTACTTTGTTTAAATCACAGAGGTAGGTATTCAAAATTTATGTTACAAAACCAGTTGCTTTGATAAAAGTTAGTGTCCACTAAACCATGACTTTAAGAAGCAGAGTTTCTCGTTTAATAAGCTGCAAAATGAGGCTAAAATGCCTTTAAACACGCTCAAAGAATTAGGCAGTTTTCCAACGTGAGTAAACGTGAGTTACATCGAAATGAAAAAAAGTGACAGATTTAAAACTGAATCCACACAACATACTCTTACATATGATTTTGGAGCATTCACGGGGAAGAATGGTAAAATAACAAGTCCATAAATATGATCAGACAAAAACGTTACAACAAAACTAGTCCGTAGTTCATTCGAAAAATCATTTGAAATCTTGAATTAATGTATATTGAAAAGTGTTATATTTGTGCATAATAGCATTAAATGAATTTATGAAAACTTTACGTTCAAGATAATCGAAAGGTGGGCACTTGTGAACAGATGATAAAGCATTGAACCGTGAATCATCACTTGCAAAAGCCGGGACCGGAGGAATGGAATGTGTTTTAGGGGTTTCTCTTATAATTTGCTAGACCGTTAGAATAAGCGTTTGATATTGTTACAAGGCTTATCTAGCAGGACAATTGACAAATTTTGTCAAAATTTAATGTTGAAGACTGATAGTGAACTGCGTAAGAAAAAGCGGTTCTGGAAAGAACAGGGTTTAAAAGTGGCAAATAGCGAGGCCCAAGACATCATATTAGCTAACATCTGACTAAATCCTAGCATGCCAAAAATTTTAAGTGTCAATGAAACTTCGGCCAGTACATTTCCACTCCTATCAAAAAGTACTTTATATGGGGCACTAAGAAACTAGTGTAGGTTTCAGTGCAGACAGACAATGATATTTCACCACAGTTTCAGATAAAATCAAGGAATGATCATATCGCAGCATTAATCAAATGGAATAGGGCATCCTATGTGTTTTTCATTCAGGCAGACTAAAGTTTAAAAAGTAACCTTATCATTGATCTAAGTACGTCTTGACACGTGATATCTGGGCTTACTGTAGCGGGCAAAGCCTGGATTTTGAAAACTACTATAAGATAACTTCATAAATGATGTGCTGAATTATCTCTGCAAACGTAGTGTACAAAGGACCAAGTGACAATAATTCAAAGTTTACTTAATTTTAGTACCAGTGCCATTGATTCCTTTTTTGCAAGCGACTGTCACTGGCTTTTAACTTAGTCAGCAGGCGTGTTTGGGCAAATGACATGGGCTGGGACGCACGGCATTTAGTAGTGATTAATTGATGGTGTGAGTGCGCGGTTTCTTACCAAAGGTGAATCGGTCGGCGACATAAGCCCTTTAATAAACTTGCAATTAAGCTTAGAGACCACCCGGTCTAGCAAAATGTTTAATGAATCATTAAAACCTTGTCATCCACAACAAAGTTGAGGCAATCATGCACTGTAGAAGAGCAGGAACGAGATGTGATTTCCGAACTCTGGTTGCTGCAAACTCTTGAAAATAGTGATGGGCAAAAAAATGATTTTGTTCATTAAAATCTAACCACCTCTAATCCAAGAGATGAAAGAAATGGACCTTACAAGTCTCGGCGTTGATAAATTTTGTTGCCCTCTCACGTAATTTGCAATAACTTGCAACATTTATTGAGTGGTAAACTCAAGTGAAAAGTGGCACGGAATGGAGGAGGAACGATTAGATGAGTCGAACTCACCAGATGTGCGACCAGTCACCGGATTTGTATCATATAAGGAGATTGACCTTCCATATGCTCTTTTGTGCAGAATTTCTTTCCAGGTGTCAATAATAACTATTTAAGAAGAAAAGAACACCTGATTACGGCCAAATTACCTAATGACGTGACTACAAACAAAAACAATTATATGGTAAGAGTACAAGCTGAAATAAATTAAGCATCATATGTTTGTCACTGTTTGGGTATATGAAAATTGACCCCACACTTTAATAGCCTT